CCCCCCCCCCCCCTTCCCTTCAATTTCAGCGTCATTGCTTCAATGTCATGAATTGTCTGCCGGCCTGCCTCTCCATGTCTGTCTTTGCCCCTCTCTCCCTGTCGCCTCCCTCTCCCTCTCCCTCTGTCTGTGTTTCTGTGTTTCTGTTTATATGTAATTTTGTCTCTGTCTGTCTGTCTCTCTCTCCCCCGCCCTCTCTCGCCTGTCCGTGTGTGCCCCGACGATGACGAAACCGTCCCCGTTGGTGTAGGCCCCGCCAACAGCGAACGCCGCGATGGCGCTCATGTTCCGAGTGAAGAAGTACTTGCCACCGGGCTGCAAAAAACACCAACAAAAAAACACCAACATCAAGACGACGACAACAGGAGAAGAGGCTGCTGTGTGTGTGTGTGTGTGTGTGTGTGTGTGTGTGCCACAGCAGTGGTGTTGTAGCGTGGCAGCAGTCGAAAAAACGTTCTTCGACTGTAAGAGGTGTGGCCCGCAACACGCAAAGTCGTCGACGATGTAGGCGGGCACGGAACGCCAGGGGTGGGGCGCGGATGGTGTGACGGTGATAGGTGGTCCTACTCGGGTATGGCAGAGAAGACTTACTGCCGTGTTTTCAGCTAGGCACGACGGATCCAAGCGGCACGGAGGCGGGGGGGGGGCGGGGGGGAGCACCGAGAAAATGAACCACACAAAACACCTCCGCCGGCAGCGGCGGTGGCAAAAACAGCAGCAGCAGAGCTTCGGTGCGCTGCATCTACCGGACTGCTTACCCAAAGGCAGAATGCATACTATGAACACAGATTAGGCAGGGGGCACGCAGACCGCAACCCTAACTGTCGACATAGCCGATTCAATACTGCCGTATCCAGTACGTTTGCTTACTTGAGAAAATCCTGCGTAGACTGTGGGACCTGTACCCACCACCGACGATTCGCACCTTGACGTCGTGCGTTGCCTGGGACTCGTCTAGCTCCTCAAACCCGGCCGCCAGCAGGCGACGGCGNCGCCAGCAGGCGACGGCGAGCCTCGGCGGTGGCGTGGTAGGCCGTCCATGCCTCGTTCAGGAAGCCCACGAAGTCCTCCAGCAGCGAGGCGGTGGCGCCGTCGGCGCCGTCGCCGCTGTCGGGGTTGTTGTTCTTGGATGCCATGCTTTTTTGGTGCTGCGAGGGGTTGAAGCACAGCAGCAGGCGGCATGACATGTTTTGGCGGTGGTCCTGCATGCGTGCAACTTGTTGTTGTGCCAGTCTCTTCTCTTGAGGTTCGGTGGGAGCCAATGGGAACGGCTGCAAACATTGAACATAAATGTCGTTCAGCCGTCACTGTTGTGCATGTAGAAAACGTCCAGTGAGAGCGTCGAGGTCCCATGCTCTATGTTTTTTGCACGCTCCAGTTCGGCCAATGAACAGTTCATCAATGCTTTCGGGCGGTAGGCGGCTGTGGAGTTTTTTGGCGGTAAATATACTGCTGTAGTCTACCAACAGGCCAATGATGAGATAGTACTTGTAGCTGCGGCTTTTTCGTGACTAATACTTAGAAGAATAAGAAATAACTGCCTCCAAAGCTTCTACTAAATAACGTCTTCAAACAAGCTCGCCGAGTAGACAACAGACATGCTAGTCGCACAGCGTGCGTCCCTCCAGCCGTCCCTCTGTACTCAACGCCCGTCCCCGGAGGAAATAAAATGGTTCGCCATCGGGTTCGCGGGAAGTTTTGTTCCCCTTTGGAATGAGGCCTACTGCTGTAAGAACGTAACATCATATCGCAGGCACAACCCACGACATATCGGAGAGAGAGGGAGAGAAAGTCAGCTTGCGGGGGTTGATTGCCAATGACCACCAGCCATGGCAACATTATAGCAGTACAACAAGATCTGAGGTCTCCTCAGCCGCATACATGCACTGATGTGGAAAGTTGATGTTGCCTCTGTGTGGCCTGATGTTCTGCCACATGGACAGACAATATTCTTTGTGCAAGCATCGCAGTACTCTCACCGAACTGACAATCGAAGTGCGCACGTTTGGAGAAGGTGCCCTCGATCAAAGCCCTCACCTAACAACCACACGCGGAATTCCTGTGGTGGTGGCTCTGTGCAGAAGTTGCAGGTCAGCTGTGTGTTGGTTGTGTGCCCGTTGTGTGTTGTGCGTGGTCTGTTCCGACTTCGCAGATGAGGGAGATGAGGTATGTTTTGCAATCTTCAATGCTTTTGCGGGCTGCGCGCCCCCCAATGTTCTACTTGTCGTCTCCCTTCGCGCGGTGCGGTGCAGCTCTTGCTGTGCTCGGAATGGAGTCTTATCAACATCAGGTGTGCGCTGATCTGTGCATGCTTACAACCGTTTGCCGCCCCCTGCACCCACTCCTCCAATGTTTCAGTAATCTATCGCAATAGACATGCAGATGATTGAAACTTTGGAGGTCGACACATCTTTTGAATTTCGATCCCACCACCAGCCGACCGGGGTTCGAACGCGAAGCAGACGATCTGTCCACACGTCCACGCTGGAGTAGCAGTATAGTAGTGTATTTTCTCCTACTGAGGGACACTTAATGCTACGCTTGGAGCGTGCACGTGCGTGGAGTACGCCAGGTATCAGTAGGCGGGAGAGGGGAATCTCCGTAGACGTCATGAGAAAAGGTTCAACGAATGGCCCAGAACCCGAAACCCAATATTCGCACGATCACCACAGCAGCAGGTGTGTATATTGAGTGCGTGTGTGTGTTTTCGTCCTATTTATTATGGCGACAGTCCCCCCATTTTTCGTGGTGAGACGTGTACTACACTTTTCAGCGTATGTAGAGTGCTACACTTGTCAGTGTATTTTTTCGCACAACTGACCATCCAGGGTCACACAGGAGGGGGTAACCACCAGGGCTTATTTCTTCTAATTATTTATTTTCATTCCCCACCTTCCTCCTGCGGTGCGTGCTGAATTTCATTTGTATCGCGAGAAGGGTCCAGCCGTCCCTTTCCCTCGTCACCGGTGCTAACGTCGAAGTTTGGTACTCACGAGAGCTTTTCAGCTACATTTCGCTTTCACCCGCACATTTCGTAAATTTTTCACCCCATGGGGATTCGAACTCACGACCTCTGCGACTAGCGGATTACGAGGATACCACTAATAGACCACCGGGGCGACCGGTGTGCCGAAGTTGCGGAAGATGGGTGACGAAGTGCCACTCTGCTCTATCTATCGCTCTGCCTGGCCCAACTGTCTCATGTACATAATTTGCTCTACGGCTGTAGAGACGCCTCGGCGGGGGAAAACGCCTCCTATGTTTCAAGTCAGCACTACAGAACGACTGCTGTATTTTAGTAGCGAAATGAACCGTGTTCTCATGTCAAAGGCGGAGGGGAGGAACAAAAACAAATGCCAACAAAAAAACTCTCACCCGGGGACGAAGGGTGTGCGCCTGTCCAGAGTCCGGAGTGGCGCGTTCTTCGCCGCCCCATCTTCTCCCGGGACATTTCTCATCGTACTCACCACACGCAAGCACGAGTGTAGCGGTACCACGACAGGAAAGAGCTCTGTCTTTCAACGATCAACGGTAACAACTCGCGGCCGATGTCGCTTCGCTTCGAACTGCTGTTGTGGTGCCGCGGTGCGTTCTGAGTTCATTCGTGAATCAGCGGCCAATCAATACTCTGTACGTGCGCATGGAAAGATGAAAACAAACGAACGCTGTATCCATGGCTTGCTGCTGCTTAAGGTGGCGATGACAGAAGTAGGGTCGTTAGAGTTGGCATGATGCTGATTGTACAATGAGCACACGGCCATGCAGCAAACAGCGTTACAGTAGTGGCTACGGTGTAAAGAGAGGATGGTGACTACCCCCTATTTTTCCCTTAAATCGGGATTTATCTAATACCGTGTTGGCTACGGTTTAACAGAATATTCTCTTGAACCGTGCACGTGTTTTAGGAGAATATTCTCTCAAACCGTAGCATTTCAAAGGCCATGGAGTATGGATGCTCCCGTTTCAACCAGCTGACGGATACTTTTTGGAGGGCATGTAACTCATCATGTTCATGTTACATACGCCAGTTATTTCAGCATCTTGGGCTAGCTCCACGCGCTGCCAAAAAATGATGTTTCTTGGTCCTCGCTTGATGAGTAGTGTACCCACCGCAAGCACTGGGTACACTCCTGATACCTGTGTCGGAAATGTATAATGAATGATATCGTGTGATGATAAGTTTCGTTGCACGTTCGTTCTTTCGCTCTACGAACGGTGATTTGTGAAATTTGGTGGGCCTAGGGTGTGACCGGGGACCGCCGTGCAGCGTCTGCCTGCTGCGCAGGGCGTGTCGTCTGCAAGTTGTGTGTGTGCCGGCTACGTGGCTTTTTTTTTAGGTTCGGTGTAAGAGAAAATCTTAGAAACATGACAATGTTTCTCTTGAATCTATTTCGGTCGTCACAAGCCAGCTCGACTCTCTTAAATCTGTACTTTCTCTTAAGCATGTTCTCTTAAACCGCAGCCACTACTGTATCTTGAAGATGCGGCAGCCGCAGAAGGGCACTCCTCCAGTGTGTAGAACAAAACGCACACACTCTCTCTCTCTCGCTATGCTATAATATCATATTATCCCGCTGGTGCAGGGCATGCCTCGCTGCAAACAGAACAGTAACCCACAGGAAGAGACTCTTTCCAACTAACCGGGGACTCTCCTTCTCGGCACAGATTAAATCCTGCGAAAATCGTCGCAGTGGCCTTGTTCGTGATCCTACGGCCCCGACCGTAATACAGCAGCTACACGAGGAAGAGAGCGCGGCCCCAGAGCACCAAAATCTACACAAGTTTTTTTTCATTGGCCCCGCCGGTAAAAAGTATCAGGGGGGGCGGGGGTGCTGGCTTTCTCAACAAAAAGAATGTCGTTGTTGTCGTTTTCTTCACATTAAACTCGTGTCAGTTGCTAATCCCAAAATCTAGCGAAGACTCGGTCCGTGGTCACAAAAATGCTAGAGCCATCAGAAGATCTAAAGAACACACACACACACTATTAGCGAGAAAAGGGTACACAAGCCCGAGGAGGTACACCTGCAATCCCTGCAGCACGTTTGCGTGCTCACAATTGAACTACACGCCCACACACTACAATTCGACTACAGCAGCAGCATCACCCCCCTTGTCCCGCATTTAACCAAAATAAATGTTTGTCGACTACAGCGTACTGCTGTCTGAAGTGCTGTCTGTACAATAATAACACCATGGTGCATTGTACACAAGCTCGGGGCATGCGGCTGCTGTCTGAAATGCTGTCAGAATGAGTCCGTGGACATACAATGAAGAAGAACACCCAACCACAGCCATCGTTGCAATTGACAATCACCCGAATCTATCCAGATCATCTGTGTTAGGCACAGCAGTGTAAACATCGACACTGATTAGGAATCGTTCCACATTGAAGGGTTCTTCCACAATGCAGGTACACAATAAAGGCACCAGGGTTATCCGCGCCATCTCTGCCGCGTCTCTCCACGAAACCAGTGACGTCATCACACACACCCAACACCTATATTCAGGCAAAAACATCAACACAAGAGATGTTTGTCCGTGCGCCACGGTTCGATGCCGTCCGCATGCTCCGGTGCCGCTGCTCCGGTGCCGCTTCTCCGGTGCCGCTGTGGCCAGTCCTAGCACGACCAAACTCGACCCGCTCCGCTTCGTACACACTCTCATTGCTGTCCTTCCCAGTCGGTTCCTCGCTTTCTCCCTCGTTGCACTTAGGGCTCTTGGTGTGAAAATTCTCGCGCCGAAGGGTCAACCAGCCCAATTAGCTCGTCACCACCTGTCCCTTCCTCCTTTGATGATAAAACCAGGTTACTGAGTCAGTACAGCTCCCTCTAGCAAAACCTAGGGCCGTGTACATAGTGCCTGTCCACCTTTCTGATGGCGTCTGCTTCCGCGCACAAAGATGAGATGGGCATTGTTGCCTACACCAACGGCCTGGAGGCCCGCGCATCTATACCTTTGTACTTGACGCACCAGTGCCGACCCAACTCCACCACTACGCACGCCTCGCGGCGGGTGCGCCGCAGCAAGAAGGTATCGGTCGGACTGTCACCGGTGGACCACAGGCACCCACGCACAAGAGCCGCTTGAAAAGAAGTGACGTCATAATTGATCTCCACCACCGCCTGTCGGGGTGCGCGGGTCGCCGGTTGGGGGGCACGGAAGGGTCTCATCATCAGTGTTACTCTCGACGGTTTCAATCAAGAGAAGAGGAAGCTACGCATACCCCAATTTATTCTGTGTGCGAGTTATGAGTAGCGGTGGGGCCCTTGGATATTCGGTGAGCAGATTGGATCCAAATATTTTTGGCCATGTGCACTCCTGAGTCGTTACGCTGAATTTTTTTTTTTTCGACATGTGATGTAGTGGACGATGCGTTGCTTGTGGGCAAAGGTTGTGCCATTCAACATGACTCCGTGTTATCATTTATTGTTTAGATTGCGCCGAGAGACTCTGTCGATGTTTCTTTGATGCAAGCGTACATAGGAGAAAGGAGATGCTCTCACTTCGCACACGCATGCCATGGGGTAAGCATGTTGTGTAGTCTGTCGAATAAATACTTGTGCTGACTACAATACACGTGAAACCTCTAACACTAACATCGCGGCTCCCTCGTCACCCGACGCGCGATCGGACCCAGACGTAGATGCTGTGTTTGTTTACCCCCGTGACCACCCACAGAGGTTGCCGTGCCCTCCCACGGTATGATGTCTGTCTGGAGACTATGTTAACCCAGATGACCGATGCAGATGATATATAACCTTGATTATCACACACGTGCTCTTCCGGCACGGACCGAAGCCAGTACAGGTCCTGTTTCAGTGAACATATGCGCGGGCTCTCACGAGGGGCCCCGCACTTGGACTCCCAACAGTATACCCCACCCACACATATTCTCTGCAGATCTGATCTTGTACCCAAGTACCCCAAACAGCCCCCCTGCTTGATACAATATACAATCTGGAAGTCCATTGTGGACGATCTTCCGACCAATACAAAAACACAAATGACCACTCGAGTAACATCCTCTACGAAACTGGCTACGCGTTAAACACAAAGCGTCTCCATTGGCTTATCCACGAACCCAATATATTCTTAAACCGTCAAGACAAAAGAATCACCCTCAGAGGAGTACCCATAAAGTATCTGCGCTACATCAGAAAGTCGTCGGAACGGTGACGGACAAATCTGGAAAAACAGTTTCAAAAGAGTTGACACAACATCCTCAAACAACACGAAGTTTCAATTTCTCGACCAATCAAAACGAGCATTCGGAAAGCACAAGGGTCCCAACCATTACTCGTCAACACATGTCAAAACCCTTCCTCCGATGTAGTGCTCAAGGACCAAATCCTGAACAGCACGCACATGCTATCGGTGCCTCAGCTGCTGTCCAAGAGACGACAGAAAATACAGGCCAATATCCATGCAAACAGCCCCCCTGCTGCAACATCTCCCGAAAGATGCAAATTCTGCGACACCCGTATCTCACTGGTTTTGGCGCAAGACAGCATTATCAATACCAACATCAATACGTGACAGCCCCCCAGCTGGAATATTTCCCCGAAACATACAGATATCTCTGCCTGCGCTTCCTTCCCTCCCTTTCCAACCAACAGAGGATCTCAACACATCAAAGTGTACGAAACAGCCCCCCAGCTGAAAACATGCCCTGCTTACATTAGAAAAACACATATGCACTCGCTGGTGTTGTGTCTGGAATCATGACAGCACACAAAAAACATATATATCCCCCCCCCGTGATTTCTTGACGCAAAACACAGCAGAACGAAGAAACGCAAAGGAGATCGTAACGAACAAAATCCAACTTGAACAGAACTCGACGAAAGCACTCTGCGCTGCTGGTGCTGCAGCTAGAAACATGGTACACAAATCCCCCCCCCATGGTTCTTGACATTAGAACAAACAGCTGAGTTCAACAATTATCAGTGAATTTCGTATGGTATAGACTACAAGGTTCGGGCCAAAATGTGTGTGTGTGTGTGTTTTCGTCCTATTTATTATGGCGACAGTCCCCCCATTTTTCGTGGTGAGACGTGTACTACACTTTTCGGCGTATGTAGAGTGCTATACTTTTCAGTGTATTTTTTCGTACAACGACAACCATCCACGGTCACACAGGAGGGGGTAAACACCAAGGCTTTTTTCTTCTTTTTGTTTCTTTTCATGCCCCACCTTCCTCCTGCGGTGCGTGCTGAATTTCATTTTTATCGCGAGAAGGGGCCAGCCTTCCCTTTCACTCGTCACCGGTGCTAACGTCGAAGTTTGGTACTCACGAGAGCTTTTTAGCTATATTTCGCTTTCACCCGCACATTTCGTAAGTTTTTCACCCCATGGGGATTCGAACTCACGACCTCTGCGACTAGCGGATTACGAGGATACCACTGGACCACCGGGGCGACCGGCAACAAGTCAAGACCCATGAAAAAAAAAAAACGCAAACACGAACAGGAATGCCGTACACATCACCGCATTGTCTCTCGGAGGTGATTACTGGATGAATTTCTCGTCTTCTGCGCAACGGGAAGGATGCAGTCGACATGGAACAACAAGAAAATATTAAAATATAAGACATAAGAGAACAAAACAACGTGAAGTTAACATACCAATGCCGGCACAAAAAAATAACCAAACAAAGTCGTTCACATTACACATGGTCTCCAATTTGGCGCAGATATGGCGAGGTCGTCGTTGCCGCCGTTTCCTCGCCCTGCTCGGTCGACTCGAGGGTGTCCACCGGAGCCAAATATTGGTCTTCCTTCGCTGCTTCTCCCCAAATTGCGCCGCGCCCGGCCCGCGTTAGCTTGCGCGTACGTCGTCGGGGCTCGCTGCAAGTGTGGCGCTGTGGGGGGCACGGGAGGGGTGGGCGGGGGGGAAACAGACAAGGGTAGACTCTCCCCCCGCTCGCCCGCCCTCTCATCCACGCTCAAACTGCTGCCGTTGCCGGTGGCGCCGCTGCCGCCGCTGCCGCCGCTGCTGCTGCGGCCGCTACTACCGTTACAGCCGTCACCGTTGTCGCCCCCCCCGGAGCTCTGGCCGAAGCTCTGGCCGAAGCCGTCCGCGCCGCCGCCGCCTTCGCTCCCGGTGGTGCCGCTTGGTGCGAAGCATCACCCCCCGGCATGTGCCCATGCATCTCTACCTCGATCGAATGGGAGGTCCACTCCCAGCACAGCCCCCCTGGTCGCTCTCCTCCACCTGGGCCGCTTCCCTCTGTCAAAGGGAAGCGTTGACGCTCCACCCAAGGCCGGCGAATGCACCTTGGCTGCCCCCCCCTGCCCAAGCATCCGAAGAGGCTCCACTTCTTCACGCCGCTGCTGTCGACTCTCCTGCTGCTGACGACAGGCTCCTCCAGGACCAACACTGCTGATTCCGTCGCTCTTGCCGCTTCCTCCGACTGTTCTTCACATACCACCTTCCCCGCAGCCGTCGCAGCCGCTGCCGCCGTCGCTCCCGGCGGCGTTGCTCCTGCCGCCGCAGCTCTGGCCGAAGCCGCCGCTGCGACCGCTGCTGCGGATGCCTTTCCACAAACCCCAACCGTTGAAGATGGGGCAGCAGGAGGGATCTCATCGACATGGTCTGCTGTGGGTGATGCCAAAAGTGAGGCTTCTGGTTGCTGCTGCTGCTGTTGCTGTTGCTGCTGCTGCTGCTGCGACGGTGACTGCTTGGGTTGTTGCGATGCCGCGGACGGCGAAACTACAACAACGCGGTACGGTTCAATCTGCCGCAGTGCTAAAATTCTACCGTTGCCGGCCTCCATGAAATCCAGCTTTGCGCGTTTCCGCGCAACTGCAGATGCTACACGTGATGTCGTGGGTGGAGGGGGAGAATGAATGGCGGGGTGTGTAACTGCGTTGGGAGAAGCTACGTCGGCGGGGGCTTTCACCGTCAGAGACGCCGCAAACGAACCGGCAGCAGCCCCGCCCCCCCTTCTCGCCACTTAACACCCCACCACTCACTTGTCCAACCACAGCGCCCGTGGAGCCGGCCGCCAGCTGCTGTTGCCGCGGCTGCTGCTGAAATCCACCAGCGTTGCCATACACCACGCCTGACTGCTGTTGTTGCTGCTGCAGCTGGAACGCAGACCCGCCGCCGAAGCCACCGTTCCTCCGCTGCTGAAACGTTCCGCGGGCGAGGTTGAACTTGCAATACTGATGTACATGACCTTTCTCTCCACAGCAGCTGCATTGGTGCTGCTGCTCGAGAGGAGGAGCAGCGGGAGGGCGTGGGCGTTCGTTGGGCACCAGCTGCTGCTGATGCTGGTACCGGCTGTGCCCTGTAAGGATGTGGTTGTGGCTGCTGCTCTGCTGCTGCACTCCTCTCGTCACCTGCTGCTGGTGTCCACCGTACCACACATGGGACTTCTTCCCCTCTCTCTCTGAAAAATATTGGTTTGGATCGATCCTTCCGTCCTTGCCTACAAATAACCCCCCGGATCCATCGCCGGGCCCACCCCCGGCATGTACACCTCCTCCAGCCGCCCACCCAGCTCGACCACCTGCTGCCTTCCCAGCAATTTCTAACGCAGCGATATTGTCCATCGCTAGTTGGACAGTCTTCCTCAATTCCTCTACCGCCCTCTCCGCAGCTGCGGCCTTCTCTGCAGCATGTTCATCCGACATCGGTCGAACTTATACGATTAATGAGACGTGTTTTGTGTACCCCCGTGGCCACCCACAGAGGTTGCCGTGCCCACCCACGGTATGATGTCTGTCTGGGGACTTGTTAACCCAGAGGACTGATGCAGATGATATAAAGCCTTGATTAAAACACACGTGCTCTTCCGGCACGGACCGAAGTCAGTACAGGTCCTGTTTCAGTGAACACATGCGCGGGCTCTCACGAGGGGCCCCGCACTTGGACTCCCAACAGTATACCCCCGCCACCCACATATTCACTGCAGATCGAATCTTGTATCCAAGTACCCCAAACATGCTGCAAGGAAGGATTCATCACAGCGTAAATATTTCTTCTTGCCCCCCCGATCTATTCTTGTGGTAACACATCGCCAAAATGCAGATGCTTGGAGCCCCTCTGACCAGCGGCGGCGGCGGCGGCGGCGCCGGGAGCGGCAGTGCGTCTTACGATGCGCTGTTTCAGGGACTTGTCGGCAGCGGCTGCATCGCGGGGCTGGCCCTGCTGGATGCCTCGCGAGGGCGGCCGCTGTACGAGAACCGACTTGACGACCGGTTGCCCCGCCCTCCTCCCGCCGCCGGCGCGGCAGCAGCAGCAGCAGCAGCAGCAGCAGCAGGAGCAGGAGCAGCAGCAGGGGAGGATAACAAGAATGACGGCAAGGAAGTAGTAGGCGCAAGAGGTGGAGGAGAAGGGCCCGGCCAGCGCGACGGGTTGGTATCCTCTTCCGAAGGGCAGCGACTGGTAAGCAAGCAAGGCGCGTCCAGTCATTCACTGCCTCCCTTTGCTGTTTGGTACTCTTCTCTACCTCAAGGCGTGTCCGCCCTTTCGATGGTGACCCTCGATACACTGACATATTTCTTGGATCAATGGAAACTGAGATAAGTCTGTCTAATGGCCACCGCACGAGATGCTTCACCATCATCGGCACAACGGGAGCCTCCCCCCCCCCCACCCCACCCCACCTCTGACAAAGCAGGAAGGAACCATTGGCCATCGGTGATAATCGGTCCTCCTGTGGGAACATCAATGCTCCGTCCTCTCGAGGGGGACGCGTGGTCAACTGGCGAACAACTAGTAGGGCATGACGCGTTGTCAAAGGTCTGGTAGCCAAGGCAAGCAAAACATGAGAGTACGCCCCCCCCCCCCCCCCCCCCCCCCCCCCCCCCCCCCCCCCCCCCCCCCCCCCCCCCCCCCCCCCCNCCCCCCCCCCCCCCCCCCCCCCCCGCCCCACGCCACCACTATCTCCCTGCCACCGCTGCTTTCATCCTCCTTGGCCCGACCTTTGACGCACAAGGTGGCGGCCGTGAAAAGCTTGACGGATGATGATGACGCCATCTGCCGCAAGCAAGAAGAGCAGCCCCTGACGTGCATGGGGGTACCGTTCCGCGTATTCGGCGGGACCCCCCTCGGCATCTACGCGGTCGGTCCGGGCAGGAGGGTCGGGTTGGTCGTTCGAGCCCTCCCTCGCGTCGGCTTCCTGGTTGTAGTCTACCGGTATGTCTACTGCGGGCGGTGTCAGCGCCACATTAGAACTTGGCAATTGATACTCCAGAGTATAGCCTATGAACTCTCCAAATCTAAGAACTTGAGCACCATTCGTTTGTGAGCTCGGTTAAGAACCCCGACCTACACTAACATCTAGCATGACCCCAGGAATACGGCAAAGAACCCCAGCCTCGACGAAAAGTACAACAGAGGTTCTTAAGTGCGGGCCCGTTCTGTGCTGCTGTGGTACATGTGTACGGAATAAACGGCGGCTCGTTTGCATGACATGTGCAGATTGGTTTGTTGTCGGATCTCTGTTCATCGAGGCATCCGTGTGTGCTGTGTCTGGGGTACACTGCCATTCACGCCGCGTTCCATCCAATCGTCACTAACCCCCCCATGGAACAGCCAGGAAAAGACGGTAGCTACATGCAGGGGTATACGAAGTGGTTGAAGCAGGCGAGAAGTGATATGGACAGGATCGGGAAGGAGCGCTTCAAATTTTGGGCTACCTTTGGCAAAGTAGGAAGGGCCATCGGTGGTCGGTCCTGCGGGAAGAACCCTCCGTCCTCTCGAGGACGCGTGATCAATGGTCTAGCAGCGCCCCCCTCCCCCCCTGACGCCCTTCGTATTCCGTCCAACGCGTTTGGCGCATGCGTGGGTTGCCGAGACAGGCGGCCTCATCTGCCTCAGCAGGTGGTGGGGGAAGTAGAGAAGTTCGTGGACGACTTCTGGGCAGGCACCCAAGGCCGCGCGGTTAGATCGCCACTGCCACCACCACCAACACGGAGGTGATGATCACCACTATTATCGTCGTCGTCATCGCTAAAGAGCGGGACGACTGGCGCTGCTGCTGCCGGTGCCTCCGTTGCTGCTGGCGGAGAAGGCAGTGCCGACTTCGTACGACCGGAGAGGGTCCTGCTGCTGCTTCTGCGGCAGCGACGTCTCGAGATAGATGATGACGTTTGGTCGTGCCTAGACGTCAAGGCATTGTTTGGTTTCGCCCAGAAGCGATGATTTTGCGTGGTGTGTGCGGGCGAGTATGTAGCGATCTCGAGGCAGCGGACGACGTGTGGCTCGTCTCCCGTGTGTGAAACGCTTGGTAAGCCGGGATGCAAAATCAACCCCATGGCATTTGGACTATATCTGGATTGGCACAACACACGCAAGGATGATGACCGGCTTCTGGTTCAGCCCTGTGAAACATCGACCGGGCCGGCGGATACCCGGCACATCGCTCCGTCCTGGCATTGTAGGGATGCGAGGTCTATGGTCTAACGACTTCGGCATGCGTTTTTATCGTGAGTACGCCCCCGGGGTTTTCTTGTTACAGTCAGGAGAATTCGAGATGAATTGGGATCTGGTGGATTCGAGACAGTCGGTGCCAACAAGCTGTCTGGTTGGTTGTTATGTGTTGTGCGCCGTGTAATTGATCTTCTTATTGTGCGTTTTGTAGTTGTTCTTGTTGTGAGTTGTGTGCTGTAGAATGAGTGATGAGTGTTGGGGACAACCGTCGTGACGGTGGTAGGTAGCATACTCCGTACGCCCTCTTGCTCGTGTGGGTGTGCGGTAGAGGGGTGACGCAGTAGAGGGTGTGTCCGG